GAATTTTATATTCGATGCATATAATAATAATCAAATAAATAAAATAATTTTATAAGTTTAGAAAAAAAACTACTTTAATATTATAATTTCATATAAAAGCTATAATCTAAAAGTGGAAACTTTTACAATTATAGCTTTTATATAAAAAACTCGTGGCAATGCTGTGGTGACACGCGACGCGAAAGACGCGAAAGCCGTCCGCGGCACGATGACGGCACCGACGACGCGACAAGCAAATTATTCCCCGATAGTTGACGCGATCGCGTGTGGAAAAGAAATTTGACGGAGCGTCTCACATCACTACCTTTCTGTTCGAGTGTCGTCGCGTGAATGACAATAACAATAATAAGTATTGTACAAAAGGAATTTGTGACGTAGCGTCTCGCACTATTACAGTCCTATTCAATTGTTGCCGCGCGAATGATAACAAGACCGTAACATGTAAACAATAGCGCGCTAATGTTTACGCCACCGAAGCAAGGCCGAATACCATGTTATTGATAATTCGCGGCCGAAAATATTGTGCGTACTATGACGTACATACACGAGCGGAATATTAAATTATACAAGTATTTTAAAATTTTAAATTATAGATCAATTATTTAATAAAGGATTAATATATCACAAAGCTTATCGTTATGTTAATTTTTCGAACCTGCGATTCAACTATTTTATTGCGCGTTCTTAATCCGAATCATATTTAAATCGTCAAAAAGTCAAACGATAAAGCATGGGACAAAATATCTTTATTCTAAGTATTGATAGAAAAATCATTATTATTCGTAAGGATCGCAACAAAACGATATTATAATTTAGATATTAATTTTTCTTTCACTTTGATTCTTACTTTAAGAGAGATTCTTATTTGTATTTTATCGGTTTGAAAATAATTTTAATAGATTAATGAGATTTTTGCGTTTAAAATGACATCAAACACAACATAAAACGGTTAGATTTGTGTCACTTCGATACTTACTTTAAGAGAGGTTCTTACTTGTATACAACCGGTTTGAGAATAATTTTAATGGATTAATGAGTTTTTTGCGATTAAAATGACATCAAACACAATATAAATCGGATAATTTTTAACTAAACTAATAATAAAAATTTTGATTACATATAACTAAAAATTATTCGGTTTATGTCGTGTTTGATATCATTTTAATCGCAAAAATATCATTAATCCGTAAAAATTATTTTCAAACAGATAAAATGCAAAATATAAAAGTTTTATTTTCTATGGTAATATGACACATATATACTCGTGAAATACTATATATAATAAAGGAATAAGCCTCTCACGTGTAAGAGACTTCGGAATTCTTTGATGATACGTCATCTTTCTTGCTCTTTACTCGTTTTCGCTCTCACTTTCGATGACATCGGAGACCTTTACTTACCTATAATAATGTATTTATAATATTCAAAAATCTTATGTAATAAAAACTAAAACATTTATGTTTTATTTTAAAAAGTAATTTTTGAACATAATTTTAATGGATTAATAAGATTTTTAATTAAAATGACATCAAAAACACGATATAATTCGGATAATTTTTATTTAGATAAAAAAAAAAATTTTATTTTTATTTTATTATCTAATTAAAATTTATCTGAATAATGTTGCGGTTTTTTTTATGTTATTTCATTTGCAAAAATCTTATTTAACAAGCAAAATTACGTTCAAAAAATATAAAATATAAAAATTTTATAAAAGTTTTTATATATTCAATAAAACTCCGTTAGATACTATGTTTGCTCCGAAGCGTTTAGTAGACAAATGAAGGCAGAAAATCTTGTTTTTTAAGCGAAAATAGCTTTAAGCGGAACGTATATTTATTGTCATGTGTTTATTTTCAAAAGATTTGTAGTATTAATTATCTTATTGTTTTAATTACTTATGCTTTTATAAATTTGTATATTAATGTATATCGATACACTCTACCGGATCTAACTAAATTTATAAATCAAAAAATTAATTACATAATATAATTAA